AACAATAGGGCGTGCCTTAACTCTGAAAGTTCAGTAATGATGGTTAAAATTGTACTGTTTTTTGTGATGTAAGGGGAGAGCAACTTTAGGAAATTATTGGCAGTTAAAAATTAAAATGTCATTAACAGCATAGATTAAAAGTACCCCCAAATTAGAAAAAACCTCATTGGTCAGGCAGCCTCTCTCTCCCTCAGGACTTCCTCTTACAAAATCCAGCCTCTTCTCTAACAGTTTCAGTGATGGAGGACATTTATTCCATACCATAGTGTTCTTTTCTGCTTCTTAAAAAAGAAAAACCAAATACTTTCTTTCAGTCTGAATAGTTAAAATACCTAAAGAAAGATAGAAATTGAATTCTGTCCATGGTATTAATACTAAGCACAGGACAATTTCTTGAGACCTTACTGTTTCCTGTTGTTTGACCTTTGTTACAAATGTAATTGTTCATATTTATTTGAATTTTAAGATTGGTTAAATGTTGGTGAAAAGCAATTTAATTGTTAATTTTTGGTAGTGCCTTTTTCTGTGTATGCCTTAATTTTATTTTATATCAATAATTTGCCCACCAAACTGAAGGTTTTTTCCAAAATCAGTAATTTTAATAGTTGATTTGACTGTGTATTGGCCCTTAAATATTTCTTAATGCCTGCTTCTTATTCCTACCCTTTTCCACCTTTTTTTTTAATGTTAGAAGACAAACATTAGCATTAGACACATACACTGCAGTCTCTACTAGACGTGAACTTCTAAGGTAATTAGAGGTATTCTAATTCTAAAGAAATGTATAGTAAATTGTGTTCCAGGCTGATTGCTTGATTTTCAATCATACTGACACTGTCCAGATATTCTGTATATCATGATTCAGTTGTGATTTTCATAGCAGAGGTAGAATGGCTGTTTTCGCCCTGAAGAGGTTGTTTAAATAGTTTATAAATGTTAAGGCACCGAGACTTGGGGCAATGTGCAAGAAATCCAGGGATAGCAAATCCTAATCTAACATTTTGATGAAAACTCTCTCTAGCTTACTTTTCTGTGAAGTGTGTGTGTCTGTGTGTGTGTGGAGTTGGGGTGGGGATGGGAAAAGAGGAAAGGTATGAATATTCAGTTAGATTAGTTTCTGTTCTTGAAGGAACAATTCAAATGTTTATGACCTACTGATGATGGATGAGAGTAATTGTCCTTGGGTAGGAATGCCAGCACATTTTCTACAAGTAACTAGTACAAATGATTGTTTAGTAAAAGTATTTATACTAAATTGCCAAGCTCTTGGTTGCTAAAACATTAAAATTAAATTTGTATGTGTATATAATAGGTTATATATAATCCATAAGTAGAAAGTAATTGATTTTCCATAGTTCTTCATAAACTCTTTGGAATAGAAATTTTGCCAGACAATATCAACAGAAACTTCCTTAGCTTATGAAATGTTCAAAAAGAAATCTTCTTATACCTCTCTTTGGTTGGGTAGGGAAGGTATGCTATGAAGCCACTGTTCCTACTTCACAGTTGGGTTTTTTTGGCTTTACCTTGACTTCTGCCTGCATTCTCAACAAGATGCCGTGGTAGGTGTTGGAAGTGTCAGAGTCAACCATTTTCTAGTTAGTACTTGCCTTTCAGAGCTGTAAATGGTAGTGAGCTGTCAGGAGTCTAGAGAATCTTTTCTCAGTGATAGTGAGAGTGGACATGATTTAGTTTCAGAAAATTGAGGGAGGAGTCACAGCTATAGTAAAGACAAGAATAAATTTATCTGTTACCTGCATATAGTCTTTTATATAATTATTCATGTTTTTCATAATTCTGCATTTTAATTAACAGTAATATGATATTTTTGTTAATAATAGCAAAGGCATTAAGTCAGTGAGTACTATTGTTCCCTATGACTGATTACTTTTTTGTTTGTATTCACAATCTGTATTATCAAAATAATTTTAAACCAAAGCTCTTATATTCCCTCACATTGCCAAAATGATTTAACACTGTTACATCTGCCCACCTGTAAGCCTTCAGGGTAAAAACAATGAAGTAGGTACTAGTAGAATTTGTATTTCAATCTACCCTTCAAGAAAAAGGAGAGGTGCTTAGTGCTTGTATTTAGACATGCAGAATTTACTTCAACTATTACAGAACTATATAGGCATTAGAAACTTGAGCTTGCACACGTCAATCTTATTAACATCAGATGACCATACATGCATTGACATATGCCACAGATCAATGGTGTACTTTCTTTCTAGTATCTTATGTTTGACTTGAGGGACATTTCAGGAAAACTGTGAAGAAAAGTAAATTATAGGCAGCAGTCTGCTTTGTGCCATAGACATTTTAGAACATAAGGAAGAGTCTGCATTCCAGTATACATGCAGAATTTGTCCCCAAATAAGGGTATCTGAGTCCCATCATGATAGTTGAGAACAGTAAAGTTTGTGACTATGCTGAAAAAGCACTTTTATGTTCATTTATTTATTTATTTTTAGTTTATCTTTTAAAAGCCTATATAACTGCTAGTGATTTTAGCATTAGTATTACTTAGAAGGGAGAGGTAAGTAACAAAGTTACATCTTAAGTTCTAGTAGGTACTTAGACTCTAAAATGGATTTGACATACTGTCACTTTTCCAAAGATTTTTTCCCCACATGGAATAAGAAGAGAGGACTAGTGGAAACATTTGAGCTGAGAAGGCTTATGGGCAGAAAAAAGTGGGCCAAATCCTTGCAATATATCTTATTCAAGTGAAAATACAGTGTCTAAGGATAAGAATACTTCTTTAGAAAGAAATGATTGTTTTAAAATACAATCTTACTTAGTAAAAGGTTTACATTTTTCTATTGCTGTTTTAAGATTTGCTACCCTGCATTCAGAAATATAAAAGAGTTAATACCAAAAATACTTTTAATGCCTGACATCTCTTACATTTCACATGGTTCTTTTTATTCAAGTATCATTGTAAATAAGAATAAACTTGGATAAATTTGAGAATAAACTTTAATTGTTGCAAAGTATGATTATCAATTTGTAAATTTACCCTTTGGCCTAATGTACACTTTTTAATGTAGTCGTTAAATTCTTTATATTTAATCTATTATTTTATAAACATTTTTAATCTTAGTTGAATGTTGGACAGTTTAATTATGTAAAAAGGGTTTTTTTCCTATCAAGGTTGACTTTTTTGCACATTTTTGGAAATGTTTAATTTGTACACTGATTTACTACTCTGGCCAATAATTGTTGATGGGTGTATGAGCGTTATGAATGTGTGCATTGAACTACTGTCTGTGTCTCTATGTTTTAACTTTGAAGAAGTAGCCATCAGTAACTGCACAGCTATTGCAGACTTAAATTAACATTATTGCTTTTATGAAGTATACTTATCTATGGTTCTATCTTTGTTGAAGAACTCAGGAGTTCAACATCGCTTTCTGATTTTGTGTATTTTGAAATGCATTTAGTTGAAAGTTTGCTTGTAACTGTGTTTCAGGGAATGTGTGTACGGAAATGTCTTTTTTTTGTCTGTAGGCACATTTATGTATTCCAATAATTTCTTGTTTTCATTTATTTCTACATTTTTATGAACATGTTTTAAAGGGTACTACTTAGTTAGAATTAAATATATTTTAAGCTTTCTGAGAGATTATTTACTATGTGAGTGTATTTTCAGCTGGCTGATCAAAATATTTTTAAAATTTTGTTTTTAACCACTCAAAATATGTTCATATTTCCAAAATTGGATACAAATTTACTTAGATATCAAATACTCTTGCAAGGAAGAGCATTAAATTTTCTTTTGAGAATTCTTTGAAATACAAATTAAGAGGAAAAAGAGGTGTTAAGCAGGAGCAGAATTCACTTTCCACTAAAATAGCCTTTGAATTCTGAGAGCTATGAAAAAAATGTAAGAAACTAAATTGTCTTGAAAAGATGCCAAGATTTTTATGTCTCCAGTTTCTCTTGGCTGATCCTACTGTTTTTGAATGTTTCCTTTATTCTACCCCAAAGATTTCAACTTTTGGGTTTTCTTACTGGGCAAGGTCAGACTTTCTTTACAAAACAATGCATTGATATATTGTGATTCTCTGAAATTGACTATAAATTGGTTTAGAAATGTTTAAACATGCATCAAGTGTCTTTATACTCTAATGTGTATGTTAAGTAACTGGCAGAAAAAGAATTGGAAATTAAATTTCCAATCTGACAATGTTATTGTAGTTAAGGAAAACTTAGATTTTAATGTATGGTACCATGTAAAATTACTTGTGTTAGAAATAAAGTCCACTGTTGAAGTTATATGTCAGTCACTAAGCTTATTATGCTGCAAGGAGTCAGTATGATTAGTAAAACCTCCCAGAAGCCAGATACAGTGTGATATGTGCCACGTTTCATTTATATTTTGACTTTGTGTTGTTAAAGTTGTATTTGTAAAAATGTGTAAATATGAGTTTTGTAGTTTTTATGTATTTGTTTTTCTTGCTGGTAAATAGCCATTTAAAAATTTAATGTGAAAGAAACCATGTTTATATTTTGTTAGTGATCAATGACTTTGTTTATATGGAAATTTGTATATTGTTGGCACACATCTTTGTTTAGATTTATTGTGCATGAAGGCCTGCAATAATTAGCACAATGAAAACTGCTTTTTTTTTTACATGTTCTTTTTTTGTTTGTTTTTTTGAAAGATTGTGGTGCAGAGGGTTACTCTTAGTAATGTGGATTATGGAATATAAATGAATGGCACTTTGAGTGTTAATAAAGCTGATATTTATTTCCACTGTGATTTGTCTGTCCAGATCTGTTCTTGTACATATCGTGTTCCCACTTTTCCTTCCTTTGCCTGAGCTGATCACTTTCTAGGAGACCAAGAGCAGACTAATCTAGAAACATTGCAACTAAATCTTTCCAGGATATAAATCTACAGTGTCCTACCCAACATGCTCTGGCATATCTTTTTCAGACACTTTGATTATCCAAAATCAGAAATTAACAGTGACTTAAAAATAGCATGAACAAAGCACTGCTTTTGAACCTGATGTGTCTTGTCTGTAGCTTCATGGACCATGCAACGGTGCTAGACAATAAGGACTTAATATAACTGGGGCTCTTCAACTTTGAACTGCTTTTAAAAAAAATAGCATAAACAAAGCCTATGTCAAAATGTAAGGAATGTATGTTTCTACAGTAATGGAGATAATTTAAATGAGTACTTTGATATAGAGGGCAACTTAGCAATGTAAGTCAAAACCCTCAGAATGTTGTGTTTTATGACTCAGTAATTCTGTATCTAGAGATTAATTCTGTGGAAATGATAGCAAATGTGCTAAGATATAGCTATAGGAGCCCCAAATTGAGGTTCTATGTCCAACATTGAGGGTTATTGTAACAAAGTACCACAAACCGGGTGGTATATAACATCATAAATGTCTCAACTTTAGAGACTTACAAGTCCAAAATCAAGGTGTTGGCTTGGCCATGCTTCTTCTGAAACCTGTAGGGAAATCCTTCGTTGCTGCTACCTAGCCTCTGGTAGCAGCAGATTTTCCTCGGCTCATGGTAACATAACTCCAGTATCTGTCTCTTGTCTTCACAGGGTGTTCCCCCTCTTTGTGTCTATCCCTCTCTGTGTGTTTACCTTTTTAATAAGGACACCACAGTCATAGTGGATTAAGGCCCACTCTGATGACCTAATTTTAACTTCTAAAAACTGTTCCCAAATAATATTTTGAGATACTGGAGATTAGGGCATCAAAACGTCTCTTTTGGGAGAAAACAAACCCATTATAATCTGCTCTGTGGCCCCTAAAATTTCATAGCCTACCCATATGCAAAATTAATTCATCCCACCTTACCATGCCCCAGTCAATCATTTCAGCATCAATGCTAAGTCCAGTATTTCATCTAAACATCATCAATTCAGATCATTCAAATAAATTGTGGGTAACACTTGGTATATAACTCATACTGGAGCAAAGTTTCTTTTCATCTGTGAACCTGTCAAACCAGACTAGTTACTTGCTCTCTCTCCAAGTGGGAGAGATGGAGGATAGACATTTTTATTTTAGAAGGGAGAAATCAAAAGGAAAAAAGGCCTGTGTCCCAAACAAGTCTAAAACCTAATGGGCCAACAGATTGTCTTTTATTCTAATACTTGAACATTTTCATAGGCTCCAGGCTGTCTTGAGGAGCCCCCTGGAGTGGTGGCATTGCTTCCTCATAGCCAAGGAAATGGCCTAAAATCATTGGACCCACACCCTGGGCCTTTGCTTTCCTGGCCCATGGTGGCAGCAGCAGCCCTGCTGGCCTCTGAAATGCCCTCAGGTCACTCTTTTGGAAGTATAACACCTTCAGTTAAACAGCTCTATCAGTCCCTTTCTTGCCCATAGAATTCCAGCCTGCCTTCATTTAGTTCCATCTCTGTCCTCTTCCAAGCTGGCAGGGTTTCTGCTGAGATAGTTGATTGCTTCCATAAGTCTTTAGCAAATAGTTTCTAGCCACACATCCTTGGTATTTTCTGTAGAGCATACTTTCTCATTTACCATATAATTAGGATGAGAATTTTCCAAATCTTCAAGTCGGGCTTCTTTTTCTTTAACAATTCCTTCTTCAGTTTATTTCTTTCCTCACAGTTTAGTATTAGCAAATAGAAGCCAGGCTGAACCTTCAACCTGTGCTTAGAACTTTATTCAGCTAAATAACCAATTTTATTGCTTACAACGTCTTTCCATCCAACAGAAAACAATCCAGCCAAGTTCTCTGCCTCTAGTTTCCAATAACATTCTCATTTCCATATGAGTGCTCTGCAGAATCACGGTTAATATCCACGTTCCTAGTCTCTTCAAGGCAGTTGAGGCTTTTTCTAGTATGCATCTCAAGATTCTTCCATCGTCTACCCCATTACCCAATTGCAAAGCCACTTGTATATTTTTAGGTATGTGGTACAGCAGTGCCTCACTTTTCTTCAATGAAAACTATTTAGTCAGCATTCTTCAGAGAGGCAGAATTTTTGTTTTTCTTGGGAAACCTGTCTTTGCTCTTAAGGCACTCAACTGACTGGATGAGTCCTACCCACACTATTGATGTTATTCCACTTTAAAGTCTACTGATTGTAAATGTTAATTGTATCTAAGAAATATCTTAATGGTAACACCATGATTGGTGTTTGACAGTACAATTAGACATCATAGCCTAGCCAAGTTGATCATCACAAGGATTAAGCAAATAAACTGTAGGAGATCCATTCAATGGAACTCTTACATTATTGACTAAAAGAGAGGAAGTTACATGAGATGTATAGTGTGATCTACTTTTTGTCAAAAAAAAACAGAAAAAAGCATTGGGGTGTTACTCCAAGTTTGGTAGAGTTGTAAGTGGTTATTATTTTTGCTTATCTGTAATTTTTAAACTTTTAGGATAAATGTGGGTGTTTTGCTTAGTACAAAATATTTTTTCTCAGCTTTATTGAGGTATATTGACATATAACACTGTTTAAGTTCAAGGTGTACGATGTGTTGATTTGATACACATATACCGCAGTATGATTACTACTATAGCATTATCCATCATGCCATGTAATTACCATTCTTTTTTTTTTTTGTGGTGAGAACATTAAGATCTACCGTTAGCAACTTTCAAGTATAGAATAGCATCATTAACTATTATCCTATAAATTATATCTCCAGAAGCCACTTGTCTTTTAATTAGAAGTTTTACTCTGACCAACATCTCCCCAATTCCCCCACGCCTCAGACTCAGGTAGCCACCACTCTATTCTGTTCTATGAGTTCAGATTTTTTTAGATTCGTATGTACATTAGATCTGTCTGAGATCTCATTTACACTGTCTTATTCTGCCTAGCATAATGCCCTCAAAGTCCATTCGTACTGTCTCATCAGGATTTTCTTCTTATGGCTGAATACTATTCTATTGTGTGTGTGTGTGTGTGTGTGTGTGTGTCAATTCATCCATTGACAGACACTTAGTTTGTTTCCACATCTTGGTTACAGTGAGTGATGCTGCAATAAACATGTGAGTACAGCTCTCTCTTCAAGATTCTGTTTTCAGTGCGGATGGGGCTAGCTGCAATGAGGTGGCAGACCATGCACGCGGGGCTGACTGAACAGGAAACTGAGAGTCAGAGCTGAGTATGGACTACAGCAGGGGTTGCCACTATGGGAGAAACTCCCATTCTCACATGAGAGTTCATTGGAAAGTGGGGCTAGAGCTGAGCAGGCGAGCTGCATTCTTTCCTCTCTGGCTCCTCCCCCACAGGTAGCACTGCAGCGCAGCAAAGAGGGTTGCCCTGCCTTGGTGAATACCTAAGGCCATGCCCCCTTACAACTTAACAGGTGCACAGAGACAAAGAAATAGGGTCCAATTGAAAGAACAGATCTAAACTCTAGAAATAGAGTAAAGCAAGAAGGAGATAGCCAACCTATCTGGTGGAGAGTTTAAAGCCCTGGTAATCAAAATGTTTACAGAACTGATTGAGCTTGGTTGAAAAATTAAAGTACAAATGAAAGATACCCAAAGTGAAATAAAGCAAAATTTTCAGGGAACCAAAGTGACATGAAGGAAATCAGGACTCAACAATTGGAACAAAAGGAAGAAATTAACATCCAACCAGAACAGAATGAAGAAACAAGAAATCAAAAAAAAAAAAATGAAGAGAGGCTGAGGAACCTCTGGGACAACTTTAAATGTTCCAAATTCTGAATTATAGGGGTGCCAGAGGAGAAGATCAAGAGCAAGAAATTGAAAGCTTAGTTGAACAAATAATGAAGTAAACTTCCCCAATCTGGTGAAGGAAATAGACTTCCGGGAAGTCCAGTAAGCTCAGAGTCTCCCAAAGAAGTTGGACCCTAAGAGGAACACACCAAGGTGCATCATCATTACATTACCCAAGATTAAAGGTAAGGAGAGAATCTTAAAAGCAGCAAGAGGAAAGGAGACAGTTACCTACAAAGGAGTTCCCATCAGACTGTCAGCTGATTTCTCAAAAGAAACCTTGAAGGCAAGAAGGGGCTGGAAAGTATTCCAACTCATGAAAGACAAGGACCTACATTGAAGATTACTCTATGGAGCAAAGCTGTCATTAGAATGGGAGGGCAGATAAAGTGCTTCCCAGATAAGGTCAAGTTAAAGGAGTTTATAATCACCAAGTGCTTATTTTATGAAATGTTAAAGGGATTTATCTAAGAAATTGAAGATCAAAAACTATGAACAGTCAAATGACAACAAACTCAACAACTATCAGCAAATGAATCTAAAAAAAAGGAAAAACAATGAAAACAAAAACTAAGCAAACAACTAGAGCAGGAACAGAATCAGAGACATGTACATCACATGGAAGGTTTTCAGTGGGAGCAGGGGGAGGAATAGCAGGGGGAAAAAAAAGACTGTTTTCATTTCCATTGGTTGTAAAGCCAGGAGTGGAAATGCTGGATCACATGCTAGGTTTACTTTTCCTTTTTTTTGAAGACACCGATACTGTTTTCTGTAATGGCTGCATCAATTATATTTACCACCAACAGTGCACAAGGGTTTCCTTTTCTCCACATCCTTGCTAACGTTTATTATCTCTTTTTGGTGAGAGCCATATCCCATTGTGAGGTATGAGGTGATACCCCATTGTGGTTTTGATTTGCATTTCTCTGATGATTAGTGATGTTGAGTATCTTTTCATGTACCTGCTGGCCATTTGTTTGTTTTCCTTGGAAAAATGCCTTTTTAGTTCTGCCCAATTTTTAGTTGGGATTGTTTGTTTTTGTATTCAAGTGTATGAGTTTTTTTTATATATTTTGGCAATTAACCCCCTATCAGATATGATTTGCAGATTTTTTATGGTATGTTGCCTTTTAATTTTGTTGCTGTTGTGTAGAACCTTTTAATTTTTATGTAGTCCCATTTATTTATTTTTGCATTTATTGCTTGTGCTTTTGTTGTTATATACTAAAAATTGTTGCAAAAACCAATGTCAAGGAGTCTTTTCCCTGTATTTTCTTTCAGGAGTTATATGGTTTCAAGTCTTATATTTCAGTCTTTAATCTATTTTGAATTAATTTTTTTAGTAGTCTAAGATAAGGGTCCAATTTCATTCTTCTGGACATGGTTATCCAGTTTTCCCAATACATTTATTTAAGAGAC